TGAACTTGTAAACTTGCCTCTCATAGCCTGTTAATCTCCTCTTACATTAGGTAAAACAAAGAACATTTTCCTCTTACAGTGACAACAGAAATGCCATCTTCAAACTTGTTTAAAGAGTGTTTACCATATTGTACAAGATCTGTTGTAGTTTTTAAAATCAGAATTTATTTTTTAATTAAGTTTATTAGTACAATTTGGATATACATAGAGATCACATTCATACTAGGGAATTTGCACCTGTACTTGATTTTTCCCCATTCCCATACCCTATCTTCAACCCCTCTTTCCCTCCTTATTTACAAAAGCTATGTTCCCATTTTTGCTTTTATTTTGGTGGGGGGAGGGATTTCCTGGGGATTAAACTCATGACCTCGGGCTTGCCAGGCAGGCACTCATGCTGCTGAGCTAAATCCCCAGCCCCTCCCTCTATTTTTCTTTCTTTTCTTGTTTTTTTTTTTTTCTTTTACCTTCCTTTCTTTCCCCCTTCCCCTTCCCTACTTTCCCTTTCCATTTGAACTTCCAAATAAAGCACTTAACGAAAAAAAGTGAGAAAATAGAAAGCCAGTAAAGGTTTTGTGTCTCAAATTCTGTTTTGGAAAAATAATTCGGTTGATACCATAGCATACGGTAAGATACAAGAAGAAACATACAGTTCACATAAGCAACTATGTAACTAGTTTTCTCTTCCACCTAAGAATCACATCAGCATTTTGAATGCATGAATGCACCAAATGAATCAGATTGGGTGAGCCAAGGACTATTACAGGCATGACTATTGTGGTGAGACATTGCAGAGTGCTAACTGGATCCTACTGAACTAAACAGAGTGCTCCTGCCTTATGAAGTTCTTCTCTGAACTAGATAGCCATGCATACAAGCAGTAGCATCAAGTAGCTGACTCCTGACTCCTTCTTTCAATCCACAAGAGAAAGAGTTGGAGACTCAGATTCCTATAACCAAGCTGTCTTTTCTGAGTTCTTCTAGAAGAATTGTAGCTTCAAGCCAAGTCTCTTATTTTTGGACTTTCACGTGTTTAATGTTCTAATGATAGAAATTCACGATTCACAAGACAGATGATTTGAACCAAATAATAAAACAATTTTTCTTGAAAAATGAGGTAGTGATTGATAGGAAATTATCCCCTAGAGTATTATCCACCCATTAGAGGTCCACAAAAAAGATGTGCAATGCCTAAGCAGCTAAGCACAAAAGGGCAGAATTCCTGTCTTAACCTAAAAGACACACACTGCATTATGATGGGCACCTCCACTTCTCTGAATCCTCATATGATGTAGCTGCTTGACTTAGGAATAGAGGGCTGCATATTGTTGCTGCCCAGTAGCATACTTACCAATTGCTTTACCAACTATGTAGAATTCTATTTCATGATATATAAATGAAGGCTACATTCGTAATCTACCCCATGGGGACTTTAAACATAGTTGAGTTTGTACTACTACCCAAAATACTCTAATAATTATAATAACTAACTTGTTAGAAACATGCAGAGTGCATGAAAATGCTTTGAAAAAATTACTTCACCTAATCCTGATTTTTCTGTGCAAAGCAGCCAGTATGATCATCTGCCTGTTAGAGATGAGCAAACAGAAGCTTAGTAAAACCCCAGGATTCAAGCATAGGTTTCTCTGTGTCCAGAGCACATTCACTTGAGAAGTAAGCTCACCCTTTCCTCAATGAAGTCAAAGTAGTAGCTGTGAGATAAGCTGATGGCAATGTCTGCAGACGTGAAGAAGTTAATCTCAATGATCATTAGTTAAGTGTAATCTGTTGATAGTAGATCATATGCCATCATATGAAGTCAGGTGTCCAGGGTTCATTATGCAGCACTGTCTCTTACATTTTTGCATCAGTAGATTTAATCTTTGTACTTGATACCTTGTGTAGAACATTGATAGCATTATTCACTTCTTCAGTCAATGATGTGCTAGATTCATTTCATTCTGGCTTCACATTGGTTGTTTAACATTAGCTTTAGTCAAGGTATTTATGTAGTTGGAAAATGCATCAAATCATGGCCCTTATTTAATTCCAAAGAGATAGTTACTAAGTGTTCACTAAGACATCATCTATGGCTCAAGAGAGGCATCATGCCAATAGTCAGACTTCTAGAGTTAAACAAATGCACATTGGATATTCCCCTAAAGCTCTGAAAATACAATTGCACCTTTTAAATCACCAGAGTCTTCAGTGAATCTTCTGTCGCCATCATGCTGCATTTGAAACAGTCTCTTACAATCTACTTATAATTAGTTCATTTGTCATTAGAAATAAAATTATTTATTTACTGATTTTGCTACAGAAATATGCTTACTGTTATGACAATGCTAGCATAACAGCTTAATGTTTGGAATGCAGATACAAGCATCCACACTATAAAATGTGTAGTCAATGCTGTCAAATAGAAATCAATCCATACATGTAATTTAAAATTTTCAGCTGATCACATTTTTGTAAATAGGAAGAAACGGAATATTAATTTTCCTAATATATTGTACTAACAATCAAGTTAGTATTCAATGCAATCAATGCAAACACTGAGATATTTTGCATTCTTTTTCATTCATAACAATCCTTCAAAATCTAAAGATATTTTATACTTGTTGCATGTCTCAATTTAGTTACTAAATTTTCATCAAACATCTTTTAGAGTTCATAAAATATACTGCAGAGACAGTGAATTCACATAATCAACCTGCTCCAAATATGTTGAATTAAAATAACTAATCATGATAAAACTTAAAATGGATTTAACTTATCAGTAACATTAGTTATGTTTCAAGTATGCGCTAGCCACATATAACTAGTGATAATTGAACTCACCAACATAAATGCAATCCATATATGCCTTGTTTGAGAAAAATGGAGACCTAAATGTCCAGTGTTAATTAGAATACTAATTAGAGTGTTAATTATAGCATTCCCAGATGACATTTATGTGCACTTTATAATAAATATCTTACACTTTCAAAATTCCCATTCCACTTTCCCCATTGGATTACAAAGAAGAGCAATCTCTACAAATTCCAATCATGTTGTGCGTAATTATGCTCAGTCCACATTGTTCTGCATATATAGCATTGATACTATAAAGTTATTATGCAGTTGAAAAATTTCTATCATCTACTGGTGGGGTAATACTGTAGTATAATGTATTGTTCATGTTTATGGTGCTAGATAAGCCTGCCATAAATAAACCAGTACTGCTAGTTGTATAAAAGTATAATACAATTGTGTACAGTAAATAATATTTGATAATGCCAATAAAAGACTGTTGCTGTGCTATACATTTATCATTACTTTAGAGTATGTTCTATTTATGGAAGACAGTATGCTATGTTGCATTTGCAGCAGTTGCACACAAAGCGTATTTGCTGGATATCTTGATTGAATCTTTTCCTCCTGTACTTGATTTAATATTCTGTAGTTTTGTTCATCATGACTTAGACTACAGTGTGTGTGTGTGTGTGTGTCCATACATACCTAGGCCACATCTAACCCTTAGGGGTCATATCACACACACACACACACACACACACACACACACACACACACACACACATTCACTGTATAATCTGGGTGGATAAGTGTACTCTGTAATGTTCAAATGCCAAAAATGCCTAGTTACGCATTTCTCAGAACTTTCTCCACTGTTAAGCAATGCATTACTATAGTTAAATGGGGAAGGAGAAGGCTTTGTAGACCTTCTTTTCTCATTAATAGGCAGTAGATAAATTTTGGATCTGGTCCGTTTTCAAATGATTACTAGAATAAAAAAGCAGATAATAACATGGACTGTAGATGCAAACTGTCCAAATAAATGTCTGGTGTTAATTAGAATAAATAATTTCAGATACCATTTTGGATTAGTTTCTTCCTTTTTCGGTGCTGAGTTCTTAGAAAAGCTTCACCAGGATATAAATTAATCCCATTTTGCAATATTTCATCAGTAATCAACACAAGCATAGAATGTTTACACTTACTGAGTTACCTACCTGAAGTCTTGGTTTTGCAATTTAAATGATTCTGATTCCTCTGGAATGTTCAAAATTAGCTCTTGTTTTTTCAGTATCAGAAAAGCCAGATCAGCAAAACAATTTGAACTTACTCGGTATTTTTTATTAATTCAGACACAATTTCAGTGTTCTTTTTGACTGCACTAATGAGACCTCAGGCTCCTAAATCTATAATATAATTCCTTCTATATATTACTATGCTTACATCACACTTCTAAATATGCTTTTTCCCCCTGAAGATATCATTTATTAGAAAATACAATTCAAAAGAAAGTAGAAGATACAAGGAGTTTGGAAAGTGGGTACAGTACAGATCTCTTCAATTCAGAGGCATAGAGGGTCAAAATACAGTGAGCTACAGGCCAAAAGCCAGTAACTTTGATCCATATATAGGGGAATGAAACTCCTGACCTACTATGTCTGGTATGACTTGTGTTCTCTAAAATCAAAGAATGAATTTTAGGAACAATGGAGGTTAAGAGTAAAATATATTTATTGAGAGAAAGAAAGCTTCTGGTTGCCCTAAATGTGCTTTTGACCACTTTCATTTTGAGTATTTGATAGAAATCACAGGGTGATTTTGTGCTGTGGCTCCTTTTGTTTTTGCTAAATTGCCAACAAGATAAGCATATTTCTCCTATATGTTTATGTTTTTATTTTTTGGACTTTTTGAGACAGGATCTCACTGTGCAGTTCAGGTTGGCCTTGAGCTTACTTTGTAGCCCAGGCTGGTCTCAAACTCACAATGATCCACCTGCCTCAGCCTCCTGAGTTCTGAGATTACAGGTGTAAGCCGCCTTACCTGGCTTCCCCTGTATGTTTATATAGTCATTAAAGGATTGTGTGGGGATTTTTCACAAAATAGCTTGACCATATTAAATTCACCTAGTGTCATGTGAATGCAACTATCTCTTGGATTCATTTGTGACTTCTCTCTTTTTTTAATCTTTGTCCTCATACCATCAGCTTCCTACTAGACATGTTTGACATTTCGAGAAATTATGTAAATCCTTCATGAGTCAAGTGTCCAAAAGAGTCATATGACCTTCTACTCCGCCTAAACAGCTCAGATCCTCAACTCCTTATTTCAGCTGACGGCTCTACTTTTCAGGTATAACAGATACTAAGTTATTTGTGATAACGTGCCTTTTCTTAGAATATTGTATACCCAGTCATGACTAAATCTTCACAATATGTCCCCGTGAAATTAACTAGAGGCAGAGATGAAGACTTAACCTAAGAAAAAGCCATTTATGTACATTTTCTATTTCAAAACCCTCACCTTGTTTCTGATTAATGAGGTAAGAATGATGTTTTAGTTTGGTTCTGACTTGCCAATCTAATTTTGTCACCTTTACTCATAATTCTGAACCTTTTCCTCTATTCATTAGACTCCTTAGAATATGCCCTAAACATGCTTGGGAGTCATCCCCACACTAGGACATTCGCATTGAGCTTGTGCCTCTCCAAGTTCACCACGCCTTTCTCCCTTCCTAACCCATCACAAACTTATGTGTCACTTAGGTCTATCCAAGTCCTTTGTTCAGTGGCTTATTACCCCTACTTTTATTTTCCATTTTTAGATATGCTCCTCTTTTCAAGTTGCTTGTACTAATTCTTAGAATCAAGATCCATGATTGTGATTACCTTATTCATTTGCATTGTGTTTTGCACAGTGCTAGTAGACACTAATAGTTTGAGAAATGCCTGTTAATTTTAAATTAAAAAGAATTAAATCAATTTCTTTCTTTGCCTGGAGTTGGTTACATCATGTTGAAAAAAATGCCACATCTAACCTCTATCTTTTCTTACGTGTTTATGGTCTGCTCCATAGCCATGGAATGAAAGTCAATACATCATAAACCTAATTATATAGTTTGAAGTCCCCCTCTGTTGGGTAATCTACAGCATTAAACTCATGCCAAGTGGATTGCACTGGTTTTAAACTATCTGTCTTGAGAAATGGGGAAGCAGGCAAAATGCCTCAGGCATTGAAAATGGAAATGGTGTGAGTGTCACTATAGAAGAAGAGAAGCTCCTTTGTCCCTTTTTGCTAAATACTTGCCAGGAAACTGTAGCCAAAAACTGGGCAAGTGTCATAGATGCTTAGAGAAGGCTGTTCCCTAGAAAATTATTGCAAGCCAAAAATCCCAGTAGAATAAATTTGGTAGATTATTCTGAACAGTGGCTACCTCTACCTATATTGTAAGTAGCCTCTTATATGACAACACCTTAAGAGGACTCTTATACCTTGTGGCTAATGAATATATGTGAAATCTGAGTATGTGGGCAAAAAAGGGCTTGGGGAAGAATCTCTTTCTGATGTTTGTCACTTCATTGGTAAGGTTAAATTCAAGTATGCATGGGCACTCTATCCTCTACTAAGGGCATTCTATTTTGTCTAGAACTTAAAAAGGATCTTCTCATTCAGAAAATGTGTATGGGGCTTGGTAAAGCTGATGGAGGCAACATACAATGAAATTGAATAAAATATCTTTTAGCCTGGGTCATAAGATGGCACTACAAACAGTTCTCCAAGGGAATATTATAAAGGGAGCTTCTTCTGGAGTCATAGCCACTGGACCAATAGTGGTAGAAGAAAAGAGGGGATTAGATTCTAAGAAAGAAATTAGCTTTTAATGAATCCAACTGTATTTCTTTATTGTCTTCCTGATCTACTCTCAGTTGCATTCTTACGCAGTACTGCTGTGATCCACATAGCAGTGAACGGTCATACAAACCGATTTCTGGTTAATTTTGCTTTGATCTGATTGTTTTGTGAGATAGAATGAGGTATGTGTGGCTTGGAAAGGAATTTTCATTTATTTGGGAGGCCTGAGGCTCATTTGCAAGCAACGGCTTTCAAAACCTTGGGACTTTAGAGGTTTACCTACTTTCTTCCGAAGCACTAGTTCTTTCTCACTGGCCTCTGCCAGGTGTCTTTAAGATGTCTGAAAAGGTGGCTTCTAAAACAAAGAAAGCACTCTTGTGTGAAATGCAAACATTTTCATATCCTTACTTAGTTGGGAAGCAAAGCAAGACTGAAAATTGGATATTCACTGTTAGAACCTGGTATCAGGATAGCATATGCCACTGAAAGACTCATCAACTTAAAACAATTTGTTTAAGCTTTCTATGTATTTCTGCCGAAGCTTTAAACTATGATTTCCTAAGCTATACCTCAGAAATAAAAGGCACAAGAACAGAAACTCAGCTCTTCACCTTAGCAAAGTAGATGATGATGCAAGGCGATTGGTCCAGGGCCTTCCAGGTTAAGAATAAAAAACATACATGTAGTAATAACTGACATTCAGATTCATTGAAATTCCCCAGTTAACAAAGTGCATTCATCTGCATTTTCACACTTGATTTCCACCAATGATTCCAAGAAGTATTGTTTGAGGGGGTCTCATACATGTGTGTGTACACATGGATGTGCAGACACAGAGGATATTTGCTTCGTAGAGAGGTATGCTGTCTTAAGTAAGACTATTTTAAAAATAGCAAATTATATATGTAACAAAAGTATTGATAAGTTGTCTGCTGTCTAGAAATTAAAGTATAGAATGTTAAATGTTTTATACCTATTCAGAATTACACAGCCATTGTCAGAGGACCATGACTGTAAGCCCATGGAAACATTCTTGTCCATCATTTCAGCCTAACTAGGAATAACACGAAGGACTATTTTATTTGTGTCAAATTTGATAATAAAAATGAGGCCAATAGAGGCCCTGAAGGGTGGTGGGGTGGTTAGGTATGCCTCGGTTCCCTGTAAATGGTACAGTTTCGTGGAATACTGCAGCTAAGCTTTGGCACTGGTTGTGAGATGCTGCAGGAGCTTTACAAGGGCAGCATGCTGAGTTCATCTTCAGCCAGCCCAAATTTTTCTTTATGAGATTCTGGGACACTTTCACTGTTTTGTTTTGATTGGCTTTATTTTGTTTTATTTTGCTTGGTTTTATTCTCTTAAAATAAAAAATTTAAGATATATATATATACATATATATATTTTTTTTTTCTGGGACATAGATGTCATGACTTATTCTTTGCAGAGACACTTACTTCCTCCAGATAAAAGTGCGTACTCACCCAAGCTGAAGGGCTCAAAGTTTGACAACACTTTGAATTCCAAATAACTAGCAAGGCCATAACTAATCCCTCTTGGTGTCAGAGGTGTTCCCATTTCTAGAACTTTGCCCATTGCCCCCAGGAAATAAAATTTTAAAAACCCGCAAAGCCCCAGTCACTGACTTACTTGTTTGTTTATGTTTGCTTCTCACCTTTTCTCTGTTTCCCTTCTCTTACCTCTCCTTGATAAAGCTCATAGCAGTGTTTCCAGTGCTAAGTGCCCTCCTTTGATCCCTGGGAGATAGATTTAGACATGTTACTATTACTTTGTTTTTCCTTTTAGGGCCTGTCCAGCTCAAAACCCAGTGTTTGGTGATACCACTGAACTACTTTTTTTTTCTGTTTCCAGATCACATTAAAGCAGTCCACGTTGGTGCTGTTGTTCAAGCAATGTGAGGGGGTCATTTGCTATGAGGTGGTTCTCTGACTGCCAGCCAGGATATAAAAAATCTCTACTATCTATGCTATTTCCTGAAGCAAGCACTCACAGAAAGTAGAACTTAACTACAACTCGCTGTTTGTGCTCATGAAAAGTATAACCATATGAAACTCTGGGGCAAATGGACAACTTACTAGGATTCCTTCTAGAACAGGCATGGTAATACATTCATGGCTTAGCCAGTTTAAAGACTATTTCTTGATTATAATGATCTGTTTTCCATTGCTTGGCTTCATCTTATTCTTTTTGAATTGCAGGTCCCACAGCTATGGATCTTTGGCAGCTGCTGTTGACCTTGGCAGTGGTAGGCTCAAGCAATGCTTTTGTTGGGAGAGAGGGTGAGTTCTGCTTCTTTATTCCCATCCTATCCTAGTGTTATTAAAAAACACTGAATTTGGTTAAAGCAAAGTTTTGTATTAGTTAATTAAGCAATGAAAATTTTAGGTAGCAGCAAATGGGAAACATCTCCACTTTAAACTCATAAACTTTATAAGAGAACATTTTGTGGATGTTTTAGCAAGAATACAATAGTCAGCTTTGGCATTCAGTATTTTCACATCAAAAATAAATACTATGTAGCATGCTGAGGGCATTTTTGTTGAAAGCAAGCCAGGTCCTTGGTCCTCAGCTCTGGGAAAGTTTTTGAAATTACACTGAAGGGTTATTAACCTACTGATCATTCAGCTCATCTGTGACTAAGGATATCATGGTCTTTTTCCAGAGTTTAGAATTTAGTCTGTTTAATTGTATTCTGAGAGAGAAAATTGCAGGTTTCAAATGAATTTCACCTCTCACTCTCTGATTGGCATTTGGCTGAGTCTGAGGGAAAAGACACCTGAAACAGTCGAATGATATACCCAGAAGCCATGAGATTCTTCAGCCATCTCTATCATTTGCCTTTCTTTTTTATACTCTTCTTCTAGTAAAGAAGTCACAATATTTCAAACTTACATAGAAGAAACAACAGAATCCAGGAAGAATAATGAAAAGGACACATTTTTTTAATCAGAAAGAAATCCTTGATTTTTCTACTTGCCTGAACTTCAGTTGAGGACAGGATCATTCTATGATGTGGAATTAAGGTGTTTCTTGTAAAGTAACTGACTCCGATATTCACCGCCCAATTGATACTGGAAAACACTTTAACAGCAGACTTAGTGCCTTAAGATGTCTTCCCTAACTTCTAGCCAAAGTGAGCTGCTGAGGAGCTGCAGAGTAATTTAGAAAACAAAGGGGATAAAATATGTCATTTATCTCTTAAAGCGATTCAACAATATTTATAAAAAAGAAGTAGAATTGTTTGAAATACTTTGGGCCTCTCTGGTGAGTAATGTCAACATTATGCAAGTCAAACATGGAGAGAATTGCAGACTCCGTTTCAGCAGCTTTTCCCATGGCTTGTTTTGGAGCCTGATTCTGAGCCAAAGAATTACAGCTGAGATTCTCTACTGTTCCAAAGTCATGGTGACTTAAGCTCTCCTATCTTCACTAAGATGACTTTCACTCCACAGGGCAAGGCTTGAAGAATTCAAAGACCTGTGAAATGGCAAGTAAGGCATAAGAATCTTTAAGAAAATTAAAACGTGTCCTGAGATTAAAGCTAACATTACATTTAGGCCCAGAAAATCTGCAGAGACACTGTATTTTAACTATTTAAACATTTTAGCAGAAGTTTGACTTCATAAGAAGAGTACAGAAAGACATATATCATTATACATTTTCCTAAAAAAGTTAATTCTGTTGTGTATATTTAAGATACACCCATATGTTAAATGATACATGTACATAATAAGACAGTTATGTTTTATGATGAAGTAAATTAACATAGTCGTTATCTTATACAGATACATCACACCAGGGCAAGAGCAACCATAATCTGGTAATTTAGCAAAAATCTTAAATTTGATAAGTTACTATTAACTATAACTCAGATGATGTACTTTAGCTCACTGGACTTGTTCATCTTACATATTTGCTACTTTGTATCCTTTGACTTAAATTTCCCTCTGGTCTTCTTCCATTTCTTTGCCAGTAACCCCTGTTTTTTCTCTCTGTATCTGACTCTGTTGTTAGATTCCACACAGAAATAAGTAATATTGTCTTTCTTTGTGTAGTTATTTCACATGCCCTCACTAGCTCTAGGCCCGTCCATGTCGTGACAGATAGCAGGATCTCCTGTTTAAGGTGAATAATAACTTATCTATGTAATTTTTTTCCAACTCTTTAATGGACACCTAGGTTTTTGTCCAGTTAGCCATTTGTGGGCACCTAGGCTGCTTTATATCTTAACTATTGTAAATAATGTGCAATGAATGTGGAAGTGCAGATATCTTCACAAGATACCTTTCATTAACTGGTTTTAATATTTGCTTTTTGTTTTGCTTCTTAGTAGTTTTTGCTTGCTTTTTTGTTTCTTTTCTGAGAAAAAGCAGAATATAATAAAATGCTTTATCATAAACACAAGTCACATATCTTACCAGTACTTACACTCAGAAAGTAATCCAGCAAAAAAAATAAAATAAAATAAGGTTTTCCTCCTTTGTTCCCTTTTACTGAGCTAACTGAAATTTTATTGGAATATATGGATGTTCCACAATTGTTCCTTAAAATGGTCAGAGATTAAGGATGGGGCGTATTATTTGCATAAGAAGGTATAAGTGAGCATGTTCAAGCATGTGCATGCATGCTGGCATGTGTGTGCTTATTTGCCAGTTCTGGCCACTTATATAATAGTTCAGCCAAAGTTAACACATGATATGACATAAATCATAATCTCAGATGACATTCATGGGCCGTGTGTTTCTTTTCCTGCCAAGTCTGGATCAAATCATTTTATTTTTATTTTCAGTACTATTGTTTCATAAGCCACTCACTTGAATTCTACTTGGTCACTGAAAGATGTAGCATTATTAAGTGACCATGAAGGCTTCTCTTGGAGAAAAGTCACTGAAGAGCTATAGAAGATGACAGACCCGCATGCCTAGGAAGGACTGGCCCTTGAGCCCTTGAGCAGAGTTTTCCTTGCATGAGCAGATAAGCAATTAGAGTTGTAGTAGGATTGAGAGGATGTTTTTTCAGTTGGTTTAATTGCCCTGTAAGAAATTTAATGAGAACTAAATAGTGAACATTGTCATCATTGTATTAGCTGAAGTATTGCAATAAGTATTTTTCTTTGTCTCTCATGCTTAACATGAGGCCTTATATCTGCTTCTCAAAGTAGGATAAATAGTCATAGAGAACTTTTTATTCTAAAATCAAGAAGGCCACAAATGCTTCATTTTCAAAGGAGCTTTACCAGGTTAATCTACCAACTGGTTGAATCAGAATTGCTGCTCCTAGAATACTGCTAATGAGAAATGTGCGTAAAGATCTGATGCATATAAGTATTGTTCCAATGGGTGCTTTTTATAAATTAGGGTTACTTCATTATTATATTAATCAGTCCAAAACTGAGCCCTGCCTTGAGCCCTAAAATCTAAGATAGAAGTAGACAGACTCCTGCTCTAAAGAAGTTGACTTATATTGGACATTAGGAACTTCTAGAAATTAATTAAAGACTGTATATCTTTAAGATCTAGATTGTATGTGGAAGATACATAGTCAAGATGCTCTAAACAAAAGAAATCAAAGTATATGGAATAGTTAATTCAACAAGTGCAATGTTTTAAAGTTTCCTATTTTCAAAGCTTGAACTTAGGACCACGATTTTTTCTCTCAAGAGCTGTATCACAAGTTAAGAAATCAGGTATACACACCAAGAATTATAATTATCAGGCAGTGTATATGAAATGGCCTGAACTTGATAGGTATAGCAGTAAAAGAAGATCACTTTGTAGTGAATTAGAGAGCTTCATGAAGAAGATTTACTTCAGTTGGTGCTGGAATGCTTGGTTAAGATTTTTAAAAACAGAGAACAGCAGCACTAGCTGTTGTGTTGAAGGAACAGCATTCATCTCTATACACAGTCAGAAACATGAAGGGCACATGTGAGCAGTGTGTTCATTTTCTGAATTTATATCATGTTCAGGGCATCATGTTAGACAAGGAGTGGTTCCATTTTGTGCATTTAACATTCAACAATATTTATTGGGCACTTAGATTTTGTATGACAAGTAATTAATTTGCCCAAAGTGCATGGCACATGCATTCTATGTTTGTGATGATTCACCTTGGAAGTAAATTAAATCTATAGATCTGAGGCAAATGATGGCTTAGAAATGATCCAGTCTTAATGAAAAAGAAAGTCTTCCTGAACCCCAAAGATTGAGTAATATTTGGAAAGAAAATTAAGGAAATATATGCCATATCCAAAGAATAATAGTCCTTCTCAAAGTTATAGGTAGGCCAAGCCGAAGTGCTAAGCATATGATGGAACATTATTCATGTGTTTGTGATATTATGCATTGTGTTTATGTATTGCACACATGTATGATATATGGAGATTTGTATGGATATGCCCATACATGATATTATATGTATATGCGTATTTATATATGTACACATAATAAGCATGGCCTGCAGGCAAAGTTCATAACTAAGATTTTTATCATTTTACAGATTATTCTGTAAAAGATATCACATCACTCTATATTGGTCAAGGGAAGAAACTTTTATCAAGAATGAGTTGTCATATTCTACAGGAACCAAGATTCACAAAATATTGTTCTCTGTATATCTCTGAACTTTCTTTATATTCTTAGGCAAACTACACAATACTTATTTAAAAGAAAATTCTATTTTCATTGCCAACACATAGGAAATAACAGCATGGAAGAAAAAATTTATTTTAAAAAAGTCTAATGTATAAAGATTTGATAGAGGAATGGATAAATATATATGAACAATTTACCAAGTAGCCTTACAATGGCTGCCAGGAGAATCAGAGTTGGAAGAATGCAAAATGTCCTTCTGCATCAGGGACAATCAGAGAATCCAGTAAAAAGTCAAAGGTCTAGAGCGCACTGCAGAGTCTGGTGAAATCTGTTGAAAGCCAACAGATCTTCTTTGGAAAGCTGAAATGCCTATGCTGGAAACCTGAAGGATCTGGAGACAAACATGCAAAGGGGATGGTAAAGACTGGAGATCCTCCAAAGCAATGAATCTTATTTCCTCCAACCAGAGTCTGTAAGTCTCTTGGTTGGTGCCACCAAATTTCAGGTTGGGCCTTCCCTCCTCAGTTTGCGGTTAACACATCAGTCATTCATAGACATACCTAGAACTGTGCTCCACTAATCATCCAGGAGTTTCTTAGTCCATTCAAGTTGATATAACAATGAACTTTCACACCTCCCTCATCACAGCTGAAGCTCCAAAGTCCTGAGAGTTTGGGTGTTGCAGT